TAGAAGGTTCTAGTAGTCTCTTTTTCTATTCTGGTTAAGGATTACCTGAACAGGGGCTGAACATGTTCTATTTCTGATGCCCAACCAAAAAACAGGCCATGACATGGTGTAAACCTGGATTGGGATGCTTGGTCCCCCCAGTCTTGGGCTAGGAGATCTGAGAACAGGCAGATCCTGATTGGTGGATGGGCAGATATTGATAGAAATTGCTTGAACCAAAACTGGGCTGGGGGGAGCTAGGAGAATAGTGTTGACTCTGTCATGACATATCTTCCCTGCAACCTGTGGAAATAGGAATGGGAGGAAAGGCATATCTTGGGCTGTTTGTCCAAGACATCAGTGGAGCATCATCTTGGGAGTCCTAACCCATGGCTCCCCTGGAGCAAGACAGAGGAAGCTCTCTTTTAATTTGGGATGCAAAGAGATCCCATAGCAGAGTACCCCACTGTGTAAATATCTCGCTCACAAACATGTTGTGAATCTCCCACTTGTGGTCTATCAAGAAGCTTCTGCTTAACTCGTCTGCCAGGGAATTGTCCATACCGGGAAGATATCCGGCTTGAGCATCAATGTGGTTTCTGATGCACCAGTTCCAAAGTCTAACAGCTTCCTGGCAGAGAGGATGAGAGCTTGCTCCTCCCTGTATGCTTACATAGACCATTGTGGTCATATTGTCTGACATTATGTGAATATGGAACAAGCATATCAGACAAAGGAAGGCCTTGCACACAAGGTGGACCATCCTCAGTTCCAGTAAGTTTATATGTAGTCTGGCGTCTCGCGGGGGTCCAAGTATCCTGAGCAGTGTGATTGTCCAGGTGAGCATCCCACCCCAGAACAGAGGCACCCGTCACAATGATGGCCCTGAGGGTACAAGGGGCGAAGGGAACTCCTACTATGACCTTTCCTAGTTGAGCCACTAAGTTATAAGAGCGACAACTTTGATAGGAATGACCACCCTGGAGCTGATATGGTACTTGTTTGTTTGATAGGTCAAATGGAGCCAAGCCTGCAGGCACCATAAGTGGATTCTGGCAAAAAGAGTTATGCAGGTGCACATGGCCACGTGGCCTAACAGTGAGAAGCACTTATGCACTGTGGTTCATGGTCTGCAAGTGATGTGTGACATCAGGGTGCTCAGTGCATGAGGAGAAGATGCTCTCACAGAAGTCAAGTCCAACCTTCACCCTACACAGTTTATTGCCTGTGTGGGTAACAAAATGGACTTTTCTTCATTTATGCAAATACCTAGTGCAGTTAAAAGTTGTATGAGAAACCTTGTTGCTGACCTGACCTCCTGACAAGATCAGCCTCCCAGGAGCCAATCATGCAGGTATGGGAATACCATCTAGCCATAGTGTCTCATCTAAGCTGCTACCATGGAGAAAACCTTTGTAAATAGTCTGGGTGCTGTAACCAGCCCAAAGGGAAGGACTTGAAACTGGAAGTGTTCCTGGCCTACCATAAAACACAGGAACTTCCTGTATGATGGGTGAATATCCACATGGAAATATGAGTCCTTTATAGCAAGAGCCATGAACTACATCCCTTCTTGAAGAGAGGGGATTACACATGCCAGCCTAATCATCTGGAAATTCAGTTTTCAATTAGAGATGTTGAGTTGCCAAAGGTCCAGGATAGGTCTCCACCTTCTGCTTTTTTGGGGAACTAGGAAATATGGGGAGTAGAATTCTCTCCCATGGTAATGAGGTGGGACACACTCTTGTAAGAAGGATTCTGCTTCCCTTTGAAGAATTACCTCATGAGAGTGGTCCCCAAAGGGGACCAGGAAGGGGGTTTGTGAGGTGGGAAGAGGAGAAACTCTGTGGAGTGTCCTTGGTGGATTATCCACAGTGATCTTGTTCCAGCTGTAGCCAAAGAATGCAAGACTGCCCCCAAAGGTAAAAGGGGACGAGGTGGTTGGCATCAGTGGTGGTACATGGGTCTCCACCATGTCAAAAGTGGCTCTTGGCTAGTGGTTGTGTGAGAGTAGAGGCTTGAGAGTAAAGAGGACTCAGAAGCAAGGCTGAATCTTCTTACATTTGTGTGACGGCTCAGCTGTGCGCTGGTACTAAAGTGCATAAGAAGGGGATGGCCTTGGTTTATAGGGCTGCCTCTGGTGTTTTATCTTGAGGTCAGAGAAATGCCCAGGGAATGCAGAGTCAATCTTGAGTGTTTTAGTGAGTGCAGGGACTTGTCCATTTCCTCATTAAAGAGACTCGACTGACTATTGCAGCTAGGAGTCTCTTCTCCTGACTAGACCAGTGGCCAAACTTCTGGAAGCCATGTCTACCACACATCCACTGCAGCCTAAAGGGCTACCTTTGCCACTAGTTTCTTCATATTAATCACTGAGAGGCCACATGCATTATGAAACACAGACTTGAGTCTCCTACAGAACTGTTGACTTTTAATTTGAAATAAGTTATAAAAGAAAAGATCTGTTTGCAAATATAAGCACTTTCAGAGAAGCTTGCTTAAATAGCCATCTCATGCAACTCTGGATATCTATAAATTGGCAGGCATGTATTTGGGGAAATTCATCATGTTTCCTTCATGACACTTGGATCAAAGCATTGTAGAGCAATCTGTTCTTGCAAAACAATCCCATAGTTTCTCCTCCTTTTCTACAAATTGGACGCAGCAATAACAGGTTTTAATTCTTCTCAGATGATACCGTTGTTTTAAGTATTTAACTACGAAGGAAAAATGGTTTAGCTACAGAATTTCTTTCAGTTTCCCCATTTCAGATATTTGATCATGAGCAAACCAAAGAGAACAGCTACAGAATCACTTTGATGTACTGAAGCATCCTGTATCATTGACATCACAAATGAATGCAACCAGAATTTACAAATATCTTGAACAAAGAGTCTTGGACAGACTAGTGTGAAGTGAACATCAATTTGCCTCCAGAATTTGCCCCCAAGCATCAATTTGCCTCCAAACACAAGAACTGTTTCTAAACTCCTTCACATTATATTCCTCTGTCCACCTTCCCAAAGACGAGTGCAAGACCCAGAAAAAGAGAAAAACTGGAGATATATATCTGGCTTACACTTCCTGACTGTGTGTGAGAGCCAATGTCACAGCTTTAACTAGGGCCCTACCAAATTCACAATCCATTTTGGTCAATTTCAGAGTCATAGGATTTTAAATATAATACATTTCATGATTTCAGCTACTTAAATCTGAAGTTTCAGTGTTGTAATTGTAGGGGTCCTGACCCAAAAAGGAGTTGTGGGTGGTTGAAAGGTTATTGTAGGGGAAGTTGTGGTACTGCTACCATTACTTTTCTGCTGCTGCCAGCGGTGGCACTGCCTTTAGAGCTGGGCAGCTGGAGAGCAGCAGCTGCTAGCTGGGAGCCCAGCTCTGAAGGCAGAGCTGCCACCAGTAGCAGCGCAAAAGGAAGGATGACGTGGTCTGGTATTGCCACCCTTACTTCTGCACTGCTCCTAGCAGGGTGCTGCCTTCAGAGCTGGGCGCCCAGCCAACCGCCACCACTCTTCAGCCGCCCAGCTCTGAAGGCAGCGCAGAAGGGTGGCAATACTGCAACACTCCTAAAATAACCTTGTTACCCCCGTGCAACACCCTTTTGGGTCAGGACCCCCAATTTGAGGAACACTGGTCTCCCCCATGAAATCTGTATAGTATGGGGTAAAAGCACACAAAAGAACAGATTTCACGGGGGGGGGGGGGGGAGACCAGACCTCATGATCCATGATGCGTTTTTCATGGCCACGAATTTGGTAGGGCCCTAGCTATAAGTCAAGTAGTAATCCCCCAGAATTGCCCTGTACCCTTCTCCTGTCTCTAGCAATATATCAGTATCACTCTACAGGTATATACTCACCAAATAATTCATAGTGTCAGATATACCATGGCAAGATACTGTAAGAGAACCCATATTCTGTCTTCATCTGTTGGCGTGTCAGTTCTTGGACATAGCAAACACAAACATTTTGATTGTTTGAATTTAAATATTTTTAGGAGAAGAAAACCTCTTCAAATAGCTTTGACAATACTCAAATTCTTTAACTAAAGCTACACACACATTTATTACAAGAAAGAAAAAAATGGGAAAGACCTGAATCTCCAGCTCCCTAAGAAAACAGTAAAAATGAGTAAAACAAGATTTGTGAAAGTAACTTTTTAATTCCGTATCAGTTAAACTGTATGGACTATGAAGACAAGATATGTAACAACAAACAATACCACCACCACTGTCTGGCTCTTATATAACACGTTTTCTCCATAGATCTCAAAGCACTTTACAAGGCAAAGCAGTATCATTATCTCCATTTTACAGATGGGGAAACCAAAGGCACAAAGAGATGAAGTGATTTCCCAAAATCACCCAGCAGACCACAAGCTGAGCTGCGCATAGAAGCCATTCTCCTGTGTTCCAGTCCAGTGCTCTATACACTAGATGATACTGCACAAGTACCTACTTACGGGCTTCATTTTTTAAAACACATCTTACTCAGATTCTTACTATGTTAAATTATAGTGCGTTATACATAGTGTAGCAATTCAATTTGAAGTTGACTGTGCAACTCACTTGGAATAATTTTTTCCCCCATATATATTACATTTCTTTCCTTCATATAGTTAATGTCTATGTCCTTCCTTACTGGTGAATCTGGATGCCTGAATAATCATACTAAAAACCCAAAACATCACAGTAGCTTCATACTCTAACAACAGGTAGGAGAATACAATATTCCAGATATCTGAGACTGCATCTGAATTTCTTTTTTTAAATGAACTGCTAACAAGATTCTGTTCTGGTTCTATTTCAGATCTGATTCTATTGCTGAGTGGTCACTGGGGATTAGCAGACAGGTACTTTATTCTGAAGGTTGCTATCATGAGCTCCAGAATCTATGCTTTCACATAGAAAATAAAGTCAGAAATTAAACCAGCCCCCCCACACACACACACACAAAAAAAGAAGAAAACAAAAGGAGAAAACAAGAGCAATAATACTCTCCCACAAACTAAGTTCCACTTAGCCAAGATGGCACAAATGAGTTGCCACTCTCACTAGATTGTGTAAAAAGTTCTAATATGATTATGTACACTGGTGAGCTTATTAGGCATAGCCCTTTCTTGATCGGGTAAAAATGTTAAGGCAGGTGTCATCAGGTTCTGCTGTTACACAGTCTACCAAGTTCTTCTTAATGTGCAAGTAAATGTTCAGTCTTGGGAAGACATGCTATGTATTACTTTTTGTTATCAAGGTTCTCTGTAGAGGGAACTGAGCAAGCAGCAGAAGACTCTGCTCTCTGCCTAGGTCTCACGGAAGTCAATTGTTGAGGCAGAACTTTTCTGAGAACAGGCCATTGTGGTGACAGGATGAGATTTCTGAAAGAAAATATTACCAGCATGTTGTTTGTAGCTACCGCTGTTCCAGGATTGGTATATGTGTTTAAATAAAACAAGGCACATTTAGAATATACTCAGACTCCACATCATTGGCTTCTGCCTCACTGTGATGCAGACCCAACAACAGCTTCCACAATAAGTCGTGATATTCTTACAAGTACCACTCCTCATGGTGCCAGAATGAGATGTTATGCACAGTAGATAGAGAATACCATCCAGCCTCTACTCTCTTACATGCCTTGTTCATCAGTGAACTAGTTAATGACATTTAAATTATCATTAGGCATTGATGCTAACTTTCATTAAAACGAACAGGAACAGATTCCCTTTTTTCATACCTTTGTTTCAGGCTAGCTGCAAACTCCATCACCACTACATTGGTCACACTTGGTTCATATTTTGAAGGTTTTCTTCACAACCACAAGGCCTAACAAATTTTTTATTCAAGATGCAAGCTTTAGATTGTAAGTTCTTTGAGGCATAGACCATCTTTTGGTTCATGTCTGTACAGCACCTCACACAACGGGGTCCTTCTTCATGATTGGGGCTCCTAGGTGAACCATAGTGTAAGCAATAATAAGATTACAGTTTAGATTCTAGGGCACAAGAAAGCATGTTGGAGGGAGTTGTGTATATTATACCTCCCCAACCTGAACTCTAAATGCAGTATCTAAAGTAAAACCCAAATATTAGGTTAGCTCTCTAGATGATGCTTACTGCTGCATGTATTTAAAACATACCCCTGAATTAATAAATGCTTTATTCAACAATATGAAAGTTTTTAAAATGTTGTATATTTTGTTGTTTTACTCTAATGATAATACACATTTTAGTATACTATGCATCTGTGACTTTTTTGTAATCAAAATTAATTTGTCAACCCTAAACAATTTTAAAACCAAAACCACTTTACAAAGATTTTTCTATCACTGATTTTTATTATAGACACAAATATCTGAAAATCAGTGTCCTCTAATCAGAAAAATAAGACAACATTTTAATCAAATATTCTGTAACAAAACAAAGTCAAAGTCGAATATCAATTAAAGCTGAAATACCACCTCCGGCAAAACATTCTTTAATGTTACAGAAGCAATTCCAAGACTGCATCTTAAATCTAGTATTGACTGTATCATTGTACCTGAAACTTCCTAGTCTTTCCCCAAAACAAAAACACAACACTGTACATTCTTCAAATGGTAATGGCCAATTCTGTTAAAAGTTCCCCTACACACACTAGTCTCTGGCTAAAACGCTGTCCAAGAGCAATATCACCAGTCAAGAGCAACACCCTGTGGCCAGATATATTCTTACAGGAATTATGTCTCTCGCCCTTCTTCTTTTCCATTGCTGCTCCCTCCTTCCCATTTCAGTCTCCAAATACGCCACTGAATGAAAGAGTGACTCAGCAGTGGCTTCAATAAACATGCAAGTCAGGAGTGACTTCTTGCACTCCAGTAATTATAAATAGACTTGTTCCAAATTTTGCATAAAATTGAGTTTTTATTCTTTTGTTCATTCAAACAACCCTCCCCTCCCACCATGGTGAGAATCTGCAGTCTTCAAAATATATTTAGACAAACATTCAGAAATCTTATTTATGTTTGTCATGCATCAAAACCTGAAAGATATTAAATGATTTCCTATAAAAAACACGCCCACGCTCCCCCTTCCCCCGCTTTTATAAACAAACAAGCAGAATACAAGGCATAGTATTTTATTTGGCCAGGCAGGTGGCATGGTGGCAGCACTGCAAAGATGAGACAGACACAATGTCCTCGGCCTTTTGCCAACTCAATCAGAGGAGCTCAAACATACCTTGCTTGGATTCTGGGGAGGGAAAATAGGTTTGATAGCTCTCTCCACTTAGTACATTCTGCTGACCAATTCTCAAGGCACCACAGGTGGTTTTTGTCTTGGAGGCAGCTGCTGTTGGAATATCTGCTTGGCTATCTGACAAAACACATCACTGGCCCCTCAGTAAGAGCAGCAGTCATCTATTTTAACAGGAACATCTTGGAAGGGAGCAGAGCAGAAGAAAGAGGGAGAGGACAGTGGCATGAAAAGGGGTCATGATTTCACACGTCTGATCTCCTGGTATCTGGCTAACAGCTCTACCACCAGTAGATAACATCCCCTCGAAAGGTCCTCAGAATGTCAAAGTGATAAAGCAAAGCGTTGACAAACTTTAGAGCATTTCTCTTTGCTATTGCCTCAATTAGCATCATCATGCTCTTAACTTCAAACAGTTATTCAAAGAGTTATTCAGCAACATACTTTTTTAAAAGAAATCCCAACGAAGGGACCACACCTGTAATTACACAAAAATGGTTAGGCTTACCAAACCCTTTTATATTTTGAATATTTGAGTGTAGGACAACTACTTTCAGATCCCATGCAAGTTTTTATTTTTTTTTAGAACTCAAACAAAATAAAAATAACTGAAGCAAATGGCTGGCGAGTCCTCTGGCCTACTGAGAAGGGTCAATCTCCTCATTGTCATCTGTCTTGTTGTCAGAACTGATAATGTCCTCGCCTTTTTCCTCTGTCTTTTCACATTCAAGTTCTTCACCAGGTTCACTCTGCGGTGGAGCTGGGATCACATCCGGGAACAAGAAACACTCATCATTCAGCACCTGCTCAGCTGTCATTCTGTTACTGCAGATCAGATTCAAGAGTAGAGATTTAACCTTATTATCCTAAGAGAAAATAAAAGGGAAGAGGGAGGGGAAAGCGAGTGAAAAGAGTTACTTAGCAGGAGAAACACGCAGGCCTCCAACTCCATAAATGTCCATTAACAAATCAAATATTTCCTCAATGCTTCTTCCAAGTACTTGGAGCCCAGAGATAATACACATGCAAAAAACAGTGCTAACCTAATATAATTCCAATACTGAACACATTAAACAGAGGTGGTACTTGTTAACAACTTGACAAAAACAAGCACCGTTAACCTTTTAACGCTTGTGAATCTCACACTCGGGCAATTTCTTCAGTAACATGTCATGGCCCACAGTGCCAGTTCCCACAGCCATTATAAATGGATGATTTCTACTGTTTTTATTTGCCATCATCGGGGAAATCCTGAACACCAGTAGGGCAATTAAAAGGTCAATTAAAACTGTCTTGTGTCCTCCACTACATTCATTTTAGTTACTGTAATTTTTGTCATGTTCAAGATTTACTTTTCCACTTGTTAGTCCCAACTCTGACAGATAAAGAAAAAATGGAAAGTAAACCAACAGTGGCTAAATTTATACTCAGCCCTGCATTTATACCTTAGACTATTTGGACTCTACAGTCCAAAGCTTAACACATTAAAAGTTGCTGAACAGAACAGAGTCTTAGGTTTGAGGAAGTTATCGTCTCTGGCTTGCTGAGTGATGGCATAGTAAGTTGCAAAGGTACAGACTAAAGACCACATTGTTGCTCCACAGATATCTTGGATGGGAACCTGTGCCACAAATACACCTGAAGACGCTTGGGCCTTTGTGGAATGTGCCATCAGGATCAGAGCAGGGACTTTCAGCAGGTCGCAGCAGATGCAGATACAAGAAGCGATCCATAATGAAATTCTCTGGGTTGAGACTGGGAGGCCTTTCATCCTGTCTGCCACCGCCACGAAAAACTGAGTAGTTTCCTGAATGATTTAGTCCTTTCTATGTGAAAGGCAAGTGCCCACCTGACATCCAACGAATGGAGCCTTTCTGGCTGTTAGCATGCGGCTTTGGGTAGAAGAACGGGAAAAAAATGTCCTGACTGTTGTGGAATTGCAACACCACCTTTGGGAGAAAGGCTAGGTGAGGGCGCATTTGGACCTTATCCTTGAAGAAGACCATGTATGGAGAATCTGACATAAGAGCCCTGATTTCCAAAACCCTTCTGGCCTAGGTGATAGCCATCAGAGCACGTTGCCAAGGGCTCCAATGGGGGATCCCTGAGTCTTGACAGCATCAGGTTAAGGTTCCAGGGCAGGATCAGCTGTCACCTGTGGGTACAGCCTATCCAGCCCCTCGAGAAAGCAACTACCAGAGTGAGTTTGCAAAGATGAACCTGCTCTCCCATGGGTGAAAAGCCGAGATTGCTTCCAGGTGGACTCTAATTGAAGACGTTGGTAGCCCTTGCTGCTTCAGGTATAGCAAGTAGTCCAGAACACACAGTACTGATGATCGCATGAGCGAGACCCCTTTCTGGCCGGATTGAGAACCTTTTCCACTTCGCCAGGTATGTGACCCAAAGGGATGGTTTTCCGCTCCCTAGAAAAACCTCTTGAACCGGTGCTGGTGAGGTCAAGCTACACTACCTGTCTCTCAGAGAAGCCAGTGCACTTGTCACCAAAGTAGAGGTGCTCAGTGCCAAGATGGCTTGGCTCAGCTCTAAGGGGTGGAGAACTGCTTCCATAATGAGGAATTTAAATCTCTGGTCTTTGTCCTTGAAGATACAGTGTTTGAACCGTTTACAAATCCTACAGCAGTCCCGTAGGTGGGCCTCCCCCAAGCACTTAGGGCAGCTAGAAGGGGGATCAGTAATGGGCATGGGCTTATGGTAAAACACACATAGTTTAAACCCCAGGCACCGAGGCATGTCCCGGTACCGAGGTAACCACATTTACCAAGGTTCTAATCTAATAACTACTAAGTAACACAAAATTGTAAATTCTAGTTACTATAACTAACTATATACAGGAAAAAAAGACAAAATCAACTGAGGAGAGTACTTGCGTGAATGCAAGGACGAGCAGAACTTCATCGGCGGTAAGAAAAAACTCAGGGGGCAGCAACTCGACAGGACACTATATACCAGCACTATGAGAGTGCAACTCCAGGGGGCAGCAGAGCCGACCCACTGGATACCACAGGGGAAAACTTCCCAGCAGTGGTGCACACACCTTCATTAGAATAGACATGAGCAAGCACTCGAAGTTTTCTTACTGAAATTCTTGTAATCCAAGAGCAGCATGGATGACTTTCCCCCTGGACTCAGATGCCTCATGTACAAAACACGGAAGGGATGAATCTCAAACTGCCCATGATAATATACCGATTGGAACCATATTGCCTGGTGCATTCTAATTTATTCACTGATGAAAGGAAATCTTGCTCTCTAACAGCTAAAAACTATAAAAGGAAATTATACATTACTATTCTCAACAAGGATTCTTAATTGGTTTTGGGTAGAAAAAGCATTTCTTCACATCTCCAAATGTATTTAAACTATTGGATCAGAGGAAAACAAACAAAGTTTGGCAAGCTGGAATCACCCATTTGAGTCTGGATGCATGTAATTCAGAGTACATTTGATAAAATTAGTATTTTATTACAGCAGATATCATATGACAGCTACTGTTGACCCAGATGATGATGCTGTTGATCTCTTGAGGATTTTGTTATTTCTGTTTTCCTGAAAAATTAAGGTTTTTCTGTACGCCTTAAGTAGCAAGAGAGAAGTTAATTTTTTTTCAGTATTTAAGGATTAAACAATGTTACAGGTTTTAGAGAGGCTGGGATGATTCTCCACTGCCTTGCACTCTGGATAATCACGTATTTCTGTGCAAAGTGAGTGCAACCTGATACAGAATCAGAATTCTCCACTCATATCTGTGGTAGCGTTTTTCCACAGATGCAAGTGATTATGCAAGGTGCATGATAGTGGATAATCATGCCTGCTATGTGTTGAACTGCAGACAGATTTCTTTATCCTGCTATGTTAGCCTTCCTGACATTGGGTGTTAGGTGTTTCAGCAAACTCCCATCTCAAAGAGACTGTCTCCTCTAGCATAACAATGTGTTGAAATATACACTGGGCAAATGGTTCTGGGTAAACTTTGGGTTTTGTTTTGCTTTTTAAATCCTTGGGCAGTCAGAACTGATATTTCCATGTGAAGTAATCAGTTTTGTTTTTGTCTTACAATATTGTTTTCACAACAGCCTAATCGCTTTAACTGTAATAAATCTGCACAGCTTTCACACATGATATGCTAAACTTGTTAGTTTAAAGAATGGCTTCTCAGCCAAAGTGAAGTTTTTATTATTATTCCCCAGTTAATGTTTCACATCTGTAATAAACGCTGTATTGCTAGATGACAGTCACTTTTGTACGCATAATCATTACATAAATACAGCGTGAAACTTTTTTTTTTTTACTTTTACTAAAGCTGTGACAACAGCAAACAGGCTATTGTGAATCAGGCACAGTACTTTGCTGGGAGGATCTTGAAAACTTAGGTAAAAACAAGTATATGGGGAAACAAATGCATAGGAAAGAGCGGAAACAGAGGGACAGAAGGAAGGAGATCATTGAAGTCTTAAATTGAATAGGGCCAGGCTATTTCATAGACCACCTCTTCAATTCTGGTTTGCAGTTTTTCAAATAGATAGTAACGGTTTGTTAAAATTGACATTACCAATAAAATAGTTGAATTCCTGTTTATGGCTAATATTAATAAAATATTAATTTAATATTGATTTAAATTAGTGTGTGTTTGATAGTTACAGCTAAATTACATGGTGAAGGGCACAGAATAAATTTTTGTAACAGCAATAAACATTTTTAAAAGATTAGGCAATGTCCATTAGAAGTATGGGGTAATCCTTCAGCATTAACATGAGAACATACTTCTTAGAGCAGTCAGGAAGCACTAAAGCCAACATTTTCAAATGTAGGTGTTCAGCACCTCTGAAAAAATCAGATCCTTATTTAGGTGCATAATTTAAGGCATCCACATTTGAAAATTTTGCCCTAAACCTGTATGTATGTAAACTAGCTTTATTAGATTAACACATTTGAGGCAAGTGTTTTACTTCTCGTGGAGAACAGGGTCAAATATGAAGAGAACTTCAGCCTCTTCCACCTTTTCAGTAATGATTCCATTTGTGTATGCTATTGAGAATTCTTACAGCCAAACTGTCAATTAAACATTTTATAAACATGGCATTTTAATCAAACATTTAATAAAACCAGCTAAACAGCACTGGCCTATTTTCTGTATGTCTCACTCAGCTGCCAAATAAGGAAGTTCACATACCATATTAAGTCCATCCACTTCAGGGGTTCCATTTTCCTTAATTTTAAATTCTTGGTCTCCAACAAACAGCTGCAAGTTAAAAATACAATCCCTGCATATATTCAAATGTGACTGTGTATTGTTCAGAGAAAAAAATTTAGAGTTTCATCTCTAAAACATGCTATGCTAATATCTCACCTCTAGTTTTACAGAGGGGTAAACACTGGTCAAGGAGATCTTTTTTTCCAAATGAAGTGGGAATACTAGCTTTGGAATTAAGAGTCTCCAAAAATCTTAAGTACAGATTCATAGTACTGGAAAACCCACACAGGGGCTTCCAAGCCACCTACATTATCTGTAAAGATATAACAACCACTAGAAATTTTACTTTTAGTATCAAAAGTACATAAAGCCATCAGAGGCTCCAAGGAAAGCTGAGCAGAGCCTTTTAAAAATGAGATTCAAACTCCAGAGTCCTGGATCTGGTTGTATATGTACTACTAGAAGAAGCCTTACTAGTATATTGTAAGATGATTAGCCCTGTCTGCCACCCCTCAGTCACACATATATCCTACCCATAAGAGCAATAAGATTCTTGTCATGACTGCCTTGTAAAGACCCCTGAAAGATTTTCATTTCGTCTTCATTTCCTGCTTCATTTCTCTGGACTGGATTTCTAACAAGGAAGCTTTAAACAAGGACTGGTGATGCCCAATCTGATTAGAGAGTGACTTCTGCAAGCCAGTAGTTTATTCCATTACTGCTGTGATCCTGATCTATGAACATTGAAAATCACTTGTATGTCTATGATCCTTTAACTATTCAATAACTCTCCTCTTTTCCCTCTTTTTTATATTATTAAACCTTTAGTTTTTAGCTACTAAAGGATTGGTATCAGCGTAACTGAGTAAGATCTGAGTTATATATTGACTTGGCTATGTGGCTGATACCTTGGACTTGGAAAGGCCCTATATCTGATAAAACTGGTTTTCAATAACCACTCATCATGAATTCCAGCATCTGGGTGGTGAGCCAAGGGCTGGAATGCCTATGGAGTCTGCATTTTTAACCTCTTGTTAACCAGTGTGGTGATACAGAAGTTCACTTTTGTTATTGGCTTGTGTCACGGCTGATTGCCCTCTCTGGCACTTCGAGTGCAGAAGGTGGGGCCCACAAGGATTTTTAAAAATTAATACTGGCCACTCCAGGCTTGTATTAAACTCCCAAGGTTACAGCTTTTTTCTGACCTTGGCTTGGTAAACACTGCCACCACCCAAATGCAAAACCCATTTTTTTGGAACCCAGGAAGGCACACTTCGGAATTCCTTCCTGTGGGGTACCCTCAAGCCCTTTCACACACACCCCTCTGGGAAAGAGCTGAGAAAGAAAACAAAGGAAATTAGCTGTTGCCACCAACTAATTAAACAACATATGCAGAAACCTCTTAGGACACCAAAAATCCAATTCTGTTCTTAAAAAATGTAAATTTTATTAAAAACAAAAAGAAAGAAAATACATTTGGAACTCAGGCTTTTGATAGATTTTAAAAGAGCAATTCCAAAAATTAAGTACCCAAAATAGGTTCAGCTTAAAGGTTACAAGCAAACAAAAGCATCTGGGGTTAGCACAGAGGAGTCCACTAGCCATAAGAAACAAACAGAAATAAACCTAATCGCGTCTTTCTAAACATTCCTGATCTACTTACACATTTGGGGGTTCCAGATAAGTAGTTCTAGGTATGATCTGATGATCTACGATCATACCTGGCTTCAAGCTTCTCATAGTATAACTGCTCCTTGTTCCCCTCTTTCCAGGAGAACCACAACAGAGACAAGGGGGAAGGTTTCCCCCCCCCCCCAATTTTAAAAAGTTCTAGCCTTCCCATTGGCTCTTTTGGTCAAGTGTCCACTCTCTTTCCTTTGCCTGGGGGACTTTATTAACCCTTTACAGGTAAAGCAAGCAGAGAACAGCCACCAAGAGGGACTTTATAGCTAACTGGCTGGCTGGGTGTCCATAAAAGGGAGCTAACCCCCGACCCCTTCATTTATCACACCTTGGTATAATCTAATGACAGAATAACCATCAGTTTGGGATGAGTCTGCCCTATTTCTCAGAAGTCTGTCCTGAATGTGGTATTGTCAGCTGTGATCCAGTGAGTTATAGTGATACTACCATACCAATTTGAATTACAAGGGGGCAATGGTATGATTAGATGTGTATTAACCAACCTGGAATTTGGGCAGGAAACAGATAGCTGTACCTATGGAACTGATGAGATTTCAGAGGGCTGCTATTGTCACATCATATTACAAACCTTTCTTTATGCAGAGCCAGCCTTCACCAGCCAATTCTGCACCTCTTTATTCACCTTTCCTTCTCCTCCCATATTGGCCACTTTTTCCTGCCTCTTTCCAGGGTCACTGGTACAGCTGCAACTGTTAACCATGTTACAATCTGTCTGCCACTCCTCAGCACACACACACACCTTTTTGCTTCACCCTGCCAGCCACCACTAACTCCTGCACCCACTAGGAACTCCCTAGCTGATTTTTCCTACAGCTATGAACAACATATTTAAGTGATTAGGGAGTAGAAGGGTTTCTTTTCTTGTGAAAAGTACCAGGCGATTTCCCTCCCCTATATACACTTCCAGTAGTTATGCAGGCCAAGGACACAGAATTTACAATTCACCAGGAAGAAACATCGCCAGTACCAAAATTGTTCTTTAACAACATTCCAGTGGCCACTGGCACTGCTTAGCAGTCAATGCTGGATAAAGGCACAGTAGATGTTACCCCTCCATGCTTAACTCCATCAATGACCCTCTTTCCACAATACTGAGAAATAGGGGCAACACCTGCTTACGTCAGTGATGAATTTAGGATTGAACTTGTTTTGGCCTAAAGCTTGTGTTGCATTCTTTTCATTTCTTCTAAGAATGGTGTGTTTTGTATACAAAATTCACATTACTCCCTACATGCAGGAATACATGTATTTAACCTATTTATTATGCCAAGCGCCCCCAGCCCTCCTATGCAATGAAAACTATTTTTTCAACCACCTTTAATGTGACTTTAAACTCCTGAAAACATACATAAGCCCTATCGCATTAATACATTACAACTAGCTGCTGTCATGGTGATTAAACATTTGTTAGTTTTGGATTTAAGAATTTCTTATTTTACTAGAAATAATCCCATTTACAAACATGGAGACTGCTTCATTTTTACCTATCATTTCCTAAATAAAATCAAGAAGAAAACATATTGAAAAGTGACATTAACTAACCAGTCTAACCACTAACAGCTTTATATTAATCTTTTACCTGCTCAGCACAGGGAATTAAGATCTCCTCATTGCAAGCATCCATGCAACAGGTCCAGGGTCAGTTACCAAAGTGAAGTCTATAATTAAGTCCTCTATGATGCTCTGGCATAGAAGCTATTATCAAACCTATCACACTGCAGCTGATGGAGTGGGACCTCTTTAACCTGCTGAGAGTTGTCAGGAATGCCCAGTTATTTACCGCCAGTTGTAACTGGCTCCTGGTGAGGCAGTTATGAGATGTCAGGAACGTTCCTACTAAAATCACAGCTTGGGAACGTGGATGCTTGAAATTAACCCACAGCTGTTTAATGTCATTTTCCATATTAAATACCTGACCATTGCTGCAATAATCTTGGGGTTCATTAAACAACAAACCAGTGAATGAGACAGAAGAAATAAAGGTTTCATTAAAGACAAAGTAGAGAGCTTCTGTGGTGGACTGCTGAGCAGAGCTACGCTGTGTTCTTCATGCTGCTTCCAGGGCATGCCTCCAAATTCCTATATTCATAAAACTGACCCTTATGAGGGAGCCTTGCACAAACATATCTCTACATCTTCCCCCTTTAAAAAATTAGCTTTATATATGTGTATATATATGTATATGGCTTTATGTATATTATATATAAACACACGCACACACCCCAACTATCTAACAACACATACATTAAATAAGCCATCTAGTACATTTCCATAAACCCAACAACCCAGGGGAGGTTATCAGCACATCACTCTAGAGTGAGTCTTTACCACTCACTTTCCTCAAATACTCCTTTTTTGCAGGTTATCAAGTCTCCATAAGTCTTTTAGGACTTTAAAATCTGCCTCTCTGATCTTCTCTGTATCAGCCTTTCATTAGAGTCTGAGTTGTTCTCTTGCTGATTGTTTATCATCAACAGATAAAGGAGAAACTGGCAAAAGTAGGTTTGGGAAATGCCAGAGTCCACATCTACTGTCGATGTTTTGTAACTTTCTGGGATTACTTTTAGCTTCCTTTAATTATGCTGAAATGTGTCCCCTTGGTCTTTCTGGACTATGTAAGGCCTTGGATGCAGCTGCTATTTAATGGTACCCCTTTAGCCCCAGTATTGTAAGTGTGATTCCTCAGGCACACTATCACTTAGGTTAAGAGATAGGACATCATGGGTCCTTTTGTCAAAATAACATTTCTGCTTCCTCTTCTGATTTAATCTTCCATGTGATTTCACTGTTATGAGATTTCAGCAAGATATCAGTACTTGTTAAATTAGATCTGATCATTCTTCCCAATAACAGCTGAGCTGGAAAAGAGGCATTCTTCAGAGGTGTACTTTGGTAAACCAACAAAGCTTTATACAAATCACCCCCATTGTTAAAAGTCTTTCTTTTAAAGTTCTTTACCATCCATACCGACCTTTCCACAAGTCCATTCGACTGGAGGTAATTTGGACATGATGTTTTATGATGAAAATCCCAATCCATGGCAAATTGCCTAAAATCTGCACTGGAAAACTGCATTCCATTATAGCTAAAGACTTCATTTGAAATTCCATGTCTGGAGAAGAGTCCCTTCATGGCAGCTATCACTGACTTAATATTAGTACTATGCAGTGTGCAAAATAATCTGTGACTATTAAATAATCCTTTGATTGCCCGCTAAATAAATCAAGGCCTACCTTCTCATAAGCTCTTTGTGAAACTGGTTGAGGTCTTAGTGGCTCTGCCTGTTGGCATGACTTATATTTCAAGCATGAAAAGCTGTTTCCTACCACATTAGTAATGTTGTG